GACTGTGTGGTTGTCATCTTAGCAAAAACGGGGGTGGGGGTGGAAATCCCAACCCGACCAAAGTTCACAGCATCCCTCTTACACAACTATCTTAGTACTATCTCATCCACACAGACAGACAGAAAGCCCAAACGACGTTTAAGACGGATCATCAAGTGGACCGAACCAGACCCTAGGCTGGACCCAAACACATGTAGGTTTCCCCACTTGTCCACCCACCGTAACCCACAAAAATCCCTCGACCGACACCCAACGGAGATTTAGCTTGACTTAGCTGATTGCTTCTCCGCCTTAAGCTTCGACCGAACTCGGAACACTTAGTCACTTGGTCTGACGAGGCTTTTGTGTCAAAAGCGAAACGTTGCCGAGCAACAAATCTACCGATTGTCGCCGAACTTTTTCAAACACGATGACTACTCAATCGGTTCCAAGCATTTTTCACCTGATTGCTCACCGGCTGTTCAGATGTCAGTCCTGTTCGGCAACTGGTAATAGTAAATACCTTTTGAATGTACCAATTTATTGTCCGGCATTTTATCATGCGAGGTGCTACTTCTACAGAAGGAATTAGAATTCGAAACGAAGAAAATCGTTCACCTGTGTGTGAGGATTTCTCTGGCAAGTTGATTCAATGTAACCCTATCGAGATGTGATGGTTTGGATGCGGTAGAGATGAACTCTTCTCGGCTGAGTGATTCTAGAAAAGTTGACCAGGTTTGCATCATTGATCACAACACCATTCCACTGTGAGTCAAAAAATCTCCCCTCAGCAGAACACTTTCGAACTCAAGATGTGAAACTTTCTGCTCTTACCAACTTCCCCGGATCATGAGTCATTTGAGAAACGTTTGGTGAAGAGTGATACAGTATGCCTCCGATCCTTCCGTTTCTTGTGGAATCACTGTTTTGAGTTTCCATTTTTCAACATTGCTCACATTCCTGAATAAATACATAGGGACTAGATGTAGGGGCCTTCGTTTTGTGCGCATAATCACCTATATCTGTTCATTCATCATCCAGGGGATCCAAGCCGTCTCGATGAGCTACCAACATCTCACGTGATCAATTTGCATGTGTGATATTTCTTAGTTGGACCAAGCTGCATGTGAACAGCGAAAAAATCGGGAGTCTCATAACAAAATAAGTTTGAGGCGTTTCCATCAAGCTGAAAACACCCAACAAAAATTCGTCAAATCCTGATGTAACCTACCGTTTTTTGCAGAGCACTATTTCCGTGCTCAGTTGAGGACTAAATAACATCTTTTCCTTAAGAAACAATTCGGCAGCCTTCAAACCATTTCTCACTTCAAGCTGTTGTCTGTTTGGAGGGTCAACCCGAAGCAGAGTCATGAATAGAATTTTTGAAGGCCGAGTTCCTAATGCTAAAAACTTTGAATGAACTAGTAGTGAATTGTGGCCAATAAACAAGTGCCTTGTTAATAATCCGTAGAAGAAAACTGGTTACGTCTCCCTCCGGGCTTTGCTACTTGAACAGATACTTTAGGCTCGCAGATTACTTAAGTAAACCTGAGTGTTCACCTCTGCTGTAATGAGATCAGCTTAAAGGAATTGAAGTGGTACGGAATATGTTGGCCTGTTCGAACAGGATAATTCAGGTGCGTCCAGCCACTTTCCGAGTTAACGCGGATCGTCTGCCGAAAATACATGTTATAAAACACTAGCCTTTGTTTTATTGAGTTGAATTGTGTGGTTTGAGAAGCACAAATGCCTCGCCACAGGCCAAGCCCATTCACGCGGTAATCGTCCAGTACCTGAGTGACCTTTCAATGGACTTGAGAAAAACATCAATGGGCCCTCTCCTCTAGTTCCGAGAAGAGCATTGGCTTGCATGGATCATCTTCCTCTGGGTTTTATTCCTATTGACTACCAGATTTCCTCACGCTACCGTCAATCTATAAGTGGCTCAGAAGAAGAGTAATTTCACAACATAGGTGAAACTTCCGCCTGGGAAGTTATCGCTCGTAGAGCAAGTCAATCCGCAACCACGTGATTTGCTTCCTGTGATTGGAAGATGGGTGGCGCCATATCCTGCCTAAGTTAAAGCTAACCACACTGCTGTTCAGTCGTTCGTGAGCTAACGGTTAACTGTTCAACCACCGGCCAGGAGGCTGTGGGTTCGAAGCTCTGTGAGTTTCGTGAGATGCGCACTGCTGATGATTCCAAACGAAAATGAAACAGCTGCATAGTGCTCTTCATCTTTTCACCGACGGACAGAATGCCGTTTGAAAGTTATTTCCATGGCATATTTGTTTTGAACTGTTCCACACATGAAACCACTTTATGAACTGTCTACTTAAAATCCTCCATGTTTTTGGCGAGGAAGAAACCATCAGGAGGACCGCCCTAGCTTGCATGGTGTTTTGTTTCCATTTTAATATTTTGTCAGTTGCATAGGCGTTTTTTGTTTGAATACGGAAGACTACAAAAACGTGCACTTGTACAAACGTGGGCACGTGTTTCGACTTTTTCTTTTGATTTCGCTCGCGCGAGTCTCATTTGCTAACTCTGCTATCACAACATTTCAGATTATCTTCGGAATCTATTATAAGTGAGAACTGTTCAGAAGAAGACCCCTGGACAACCATGATTAGATTATTAGTTATTCGCTGACCTGGGACAACAACGAACCATCTTAAAGAGAACAGTTCTTAGTGAGCCTGTTCTATCTGACCTATAATACTGTATACTCAATCTAGCGTTATTATTTCTATTTCTTTGCCACACACTCCTGGTAAGGTAGTTTTCTGAATAGGCAGACTACTACACTTGAATAAACAATGGGTTTAGCAAAGTGAAGCAACCGAATTAAGGCAAAGTTCGCAGATGAGAATGTCAGTTAATTGTTGTTTCTTGTGTCGTCTTTACGTGAGTGCTACTGTGCTGCATTATTTCTAGGAGGCCCAAAATTCCAAAAACATCGGATCATAAAATAGTTGCCTTGAATTCATCTTAGATACCTGTTTAAGAGTAGAATAATTGCTAGGTTTGTGTAACTTTACGCACGAGAATACCGCTATCCCAGGAAAGTGCAATACCTTCAACAATGTTCAACCTTCAGAAGACTGTTTGATTGTTTTCGAAATACAATTTTACGACATGTGACCGGGACGTGGGCACGTGAGGTCGCGTTTACAACAGATCTTCAAGCGGGAGTTCTCGAATCTGGTAACTAGAGCTAACACGAATTTGGGACATCAGTTAAAACTTCACTTCAGTCGATTTTCAAGTTTGGTCTTCCTGTCCAAGGCGAGCTCTAGGAGGTACGAACATTAAGGTCATGCACACTGTCCATATCCCAGATTCCAGAGCTGAGTGAAGTCGGTATCCTAATTCTGTTTCTTATCCGATGCCTGTACTATCTAACGACACAGGTTGTCGTTCCGGATTTGGTCGGTCACTGGCGCTATTCTGGCAAGCGTCAGCATGACGAACCAGATTCTGACGTAGTATTCGGTCGAGTGTAAACAAAGGTGAATCGTGGTTACTACTTCTGATATTCACGACTATGTTCAGTTTTCCGTCAACGTCTGCATTCTTTTTATGTAAGAATGCTGTGCCATATCTAGCCAAACTTCTTGTAATGACTCCTTCTCTAACACGGCCTGGTGACTGTGCGCAGCCCAGCCTGTTTAGACTGTTTGTACTTCCACTCTGATTGATTTTGGTGGGCATTTTCAAGGTCGTAGTAGACAGAGAGTATCGCATTTCATCCATGCTTTTAAGACGTCTTTCCTGTGTTGTGAAGACGTTTTGAATCACGAGGCACACTCCTGGTAACTGGCGATATTATTACTGAATTTTTCAGTAGGCCTGTTATGAAGGCAAAGTGAAACACAAATGAAAGCACAGCACAACTCAGTGGCACGAAGCTAATGACCTGAAGGTCCGTGATTCCAGCTCAGTTCTGGTCTCTCGAATCTCCCTGTCTAGGCTTGAGCAACCTGCTAGCTATCATCTTTCCGTTTGGTTGCATTGCAGCTGTGCACCGAAAGATGCTATGGCTAAATTATTAACATTCATGAATTTATTGTTCTATACAATAGGACGAAAATATCAAGCAGTCAGAAGTAGCTGTACTGTACTATTCATCTGTTTTGAGATAAACAACAGAGATTTCTTATTCTCCATATTATAGCTGCTGTAATCCCGTAATCTTTAGGTAAAACAAAGCCAGATGTTTATCTGTTTTGGTAAAAAAAGAATGCTGTGGGTTGCCTAGACAAGCTGAGGGGTTCCAAACCTTGTTTTGCAGCAAGGTCTGTTGGATTTCCGTTGATATGGACGCTTGGATACGGAGTAAGGAGGCTGTGGAGATCAACGGTGCCACGAGGCAATTGCTGACTCTGGTGCTGACACAAATGGGTCGAGTGATCGTGGTATTGTGTAATGGTTCGTTCTATTCGGGGACATCGCAAAGAACAATTTTGTTGGTCACATTCGGCCACTCCGGTGTCAACATCTTCCTCTTATGTGACACGGTTCAAGTTTTTCCACTACTGGTTCTCGCGGACATATGAAATCTCCTTGTGAGCATTTAAGATAAACTTGATACGGTGTGCAAGTCTACCAAATCGGGAAACCGGTGGTGATATTCCTGAAGCCTAGGATGTCTTCCAGTTTTCTCAACTGACTCACTCAGTGAGCCATGTGCAGCGAATAACTTTGCTTTACTTCTAAAAGTGCGGGAAAATTGGCATTCTCCGGTATATAACTAGATTTGGTCGAATCGGTGCCACGTCGTGTCACAATTTCTATCTCATTACTGGCTCAAATGATATTGTTAGGCAGGAATCCACGCGGATCCAGCGAATAACTTTACTTCTAAAAGTGCGGGAAAATTGGCATTCTCCGGTATATAACTAGATTTGGTCGAATCAGTGCCACGTCGTGTCACGTCACAAATCTCATTACTGGCTCAAATGATATTGTTAGGCAGGAATCCACGCGGATCCCACTATACCGCGCGTCTTTAGGCGCTGCTACGGCCGAGAAGCCCGGCCCGCTCGACGTCGGCCCAAAATTCGGGACGCTTGCCGGTCCGGCATCAAGACGAGATCTGATCGGTCAACAATCTGGACCCAACAGCCAATCATGACCCAGTATTGGCCAAATGCCGGTTGCCAATGGCGCTCCAGAACGCGTCAGAAATTCCAGAAAGTTATAGCCGCTTACGCTATATATACGAAGCGCTGTACAACTGTTCCTGATTTCGTTTTGGGCGTTAATAGACCTTGTGCACCTTTGGTG